TATGCATTTAAGCTTTCTCTCTGTCTAGATAGCTCATTTCTTTTTAACCCTGAATAATATTCCATTTCCTGGATGACCTCAATTATCTATTCACTGCAGGACAAACTTGGTGCTTCGAAGTTTGGATAATTATGAATAAAGCTGCTATAAATGACTATATTCAGCTTTTTGTGTAGACACACTTGAACCCTTTGGGTAAATACCAGGGAGTGCAACTGCTGAACTGTATGACAAGAGTATGTTTAGTTTTTAAGAAATGCCAAACTATCTTCCTAAGGGACTATCTTTTGGCATTTCCACCAGCAATGAATGAGAACTCCCGTTGCTGAATTTGAGCAAGAATGGATACATATATATATGTATGACTGAGTCCCTTTACCATTCACCTGAAACTATCACAACATTGTTAATTGGCTATACTCCAAGTTTAAAAAATAAATAAAAATAATTCTCACTTAAAAAAAAAAAAAAACTACCATTGTTCCACATCCTGCTCAGTATTCAGTGTTGTCAGTGTTCCAGATTTTAGCCTTCCCAGTAGATGTGTGGTGACATCTCATTTTTGTTTGGTTGGTTGGTTTAGTTGTGGCATGTGGGATCTAGTTCCCTGACCAAGGATGAACCTGGGCCCCATGTGTTGGGAGCATGGAATCTTAGCCACTGGACCACCAGGGAAGTCTCCTCATTGTCATTTCAAATTGCATTTCACTGATTACATATGACGTGGAAAATCTTTTCATAAACTTATTTGCCATCTGCATATGTTCTTTGGTAATGTTGGTGATGGACAGGGAGGCCTGGTGTGCTGCGGCTCATGGGATCGCAAAGAGTCGGACACGACTGAGAGAATGAACTGAACTGAACTGAATCTCTTAGGATTTTTGGCCCATTTTTAATCAGGCCTCTCCTTTCCTCACTGCTGAGTTTGAAGAGTTCTCTGTGTATTCCAACGGTTCTTTATCAAGTGCATCTTTTGCAAATATTTTCGCCCATCTGCGGCTTGTATTCTCATCCTCTGGACACTGTCTTTCACAAAGCAGAAGTTTTTAAATTTTAATGAAGTCCAGCTTCTCAATCATTTCTTTCATGGATTGTGCTTTTGGTGGTGTGTTGTTAAATTCACCAACATACTCAATTGAGTCAGCTTTTTGATCTGTGATTTTAGTTTTAAAACATATATGCATTGCAGCATTTTTTTTTTCATTTGGAGAAGAAAGATTTTGAGACTTCTTGCATGTGCACGAATTAATTGTGCATGTACTTACAGATTTGCAAAAGTTACTATTAATAAAGACTTCTCTTTTGTAGGGCTTCCCTGGGGGCTCAGCTGGTAAAGAATCTGCCTGCAATGCAGGAGACCTGGATTTGATCCTTGGGTTGGGAAGGTCCCCTGGAGAAGGGAATGGCTACCCACTCCAGTATTCTGGCCTGGATAATTCCATGGACTATATTGTCCATGGGGTCACAAAGAGTCGGGCATGACTGAGCAACTTTCACTTTTTCTTTTAGAATAAGTATGTGTCTTTGGTGTGTGGCAAGTTAACATCAAATGAAATAAAGTTAAATTTACGGAAGTTTCAAGTCCATATTGATACTAGAAAATTAATTATATTCCATATGACTTCCCAATACTGTTTGTTGAAACTTAGAAGTGCTGTAGAGATCAATCTCAGTTATTAGGATCCAAAGTTCACCTGTGATCGAGTTGCTACTCATGAACTCTGTTTTAGGCTATATGTCTATTAACTCATGGAGGTCATTTAACTGAAGGTTTTCTGTGAAGAAATCACTGTTTACTATGTTGTTTCTTTTTTTATAGAACTCATGAAGAGATACAAGATTTAAAACCCTGGGCACACATAAATAATAAAATGAAATGGACTGGAATGGATGAATTTAACTCAGGTGACCATCATGTCTACTACTGTGGGCAAGAACTCCTGAGAAGAAATGGAGTAGCCATCATAGTCAACAAAAGATACCAAAATGCAGTACTCGGATACCATCTCAAAAACAATAAAATGATTTCTGTTCATTTCCAAGGCAAACCATTCAATATCACGAGAATTCAAGTCTATGCCCTGACCAGTAATTCTGAAGAAGCTGAAGTTGAACAGTTTTATGAAGACCTACAAGACCTTTGAGAAACTAACACCCAAAAAAGATGTCCTTTTCATTATAGGGGACTAGAATGCAAAAGCAGGAAGTCACGAGATGCCTGGAGTAACAGGCAAATTTGGCCTTGGAGTACAGAATGAAGCAGGGCAAAGGCTAACAGAGTATTACNTCACTGGAAGGACTGATGCTGAAGCTGAAACTCTAATACTTTGGCCACCTGATGCAAAGAATTGACTCTTTTGAAGAGACCCTGATGCTGGGAAAGACTAAAAGTGGGAGGAAAAGGGGATGGCAGAGGATGAGATGGTTGGATGGCATCACCAACTCAATGGACATGGGTTTGAGCAGGCTCCATGAATTGGTGATGGACAGGGAGGCCTGGCATGCTGCAGTACATGGGGTTGTAAACAGTTGGACATGACTGAGTGAACTGAACTGAATTGATAGGCTACATCCCAAATCTCCATGTTCAGTTATCTAATTTTGAACTTTGGACTAAAATAGAGTCAAGGCCAGAGATTAGATAAAAAGGATGTTTTGGCTTCAGAGGTAATTGCTTAAGTTATTTAATATTTGTTGACACAATCCACCCAGAAGATTGTTCTGATTTATTGAACATGTTTTCACCTAAGCAGTTTAACCACAGGAGGTAATAGATCTTAAATCTCATTCCTTGTCTGGGCTCTATTATAGTATGACGTGAACCAATAAGTGATAAGTCTCCCTGCTTCTTCTATTACAGTTTTGGGAAAGAAAGTCAGGAAGGAAGAAGCTCTGGTCTGTGGACAGGGGTTGTGGGGAAAAAGTTACCAACGGGATAGCCCCTGCGGCTGCAGTTAGTGGTACATCCTTTCCTATTGGATCAAGACATAGGGCTTTTTACAATCACTGGTAGATTAATTAGCTGTTATCGCTTTCTCCTACAGCCCTTATCTGGTTTTGGAATCCATATTACACTAACATCATAGAATGACTAGGGAAATTTTGAAAGTCTTCTTTTTTTCTTTTTTTGTAATCACTTGTTCTTTTCAGGAGAGACAAGGTGATGACTTTCAGTTTCCTTAATATTTATACAAGCACCACTTTTGGCATTTTATATATTTCTAGGAACTTTAGCACCCCATTTAACTTTTTCAATCTACTATCTATCCGGTGGCCTTCAATATTTTATCCCAGATTCTATTTTATGGAGCTTTCTACAATGAGAGACTCAGACTCACCTGTCTGAGTAGGGTGATTCTGTCCAGGATGTAGCATCCTTAAGACTGGTCTTATCCTCTGACCCTGACCTGGCCCTTCTGTGCTTCTCCCAGGCTGCCACCTTTCCTCAGAGTTCTAACCCCAGCTTAGGCATCCTCCTTGAGGAATCTGGCCATGGCTAATAATCAAAAGGAATGAAAAAGAACTGAAAGGGGTACAGGCAAAAGAAGTATTAGATGTATGCCTAATAGGTACAGGATTTCCCTTTGGGGTGATGAAAGGTCTAAGAACTAGATTATTGTGATGGTTGTACAACACTGTGCTGTACTTCATGCCACTGAAGTGTACACTTTAAAATGGTATTCCTGAAACTAGTAGTGCATGTCAATTATTCATCAATATTAAGTACATACATACATATATACATTGGGCTTCTCTGGTAGCTCAGATGGTAAAGAATCCACCTGAAATGTAGGAGACCAGAGTTCAATCCCTTGGTTGGGAAGATCCTCTGGAGAAGGGACTAGCTACCCACTCCAGTATTCTTGCCTGGAGAATTCCATGGACAGAGGAGCCTAGCGGGGTCGCAAAGAGTCGGACACGACTGAGCGACTAACACTTCACTTCAAAATATACATAATACAATTTCCTGTCTGAACCAGTGTATGTATATAAGTGGTGTGTTAGTCACTCAGAGCCTGCCAGGCTCTCTGTGTCTGGGATTCTCCAGGCAAGAATACTGGAGTGGGTAGCCAGTCCCTTCTCCAGGGGATCTTCCTGACCCAGGGATTGAACCCAGGTCTCCCACATTGCAGGTGGATTCTTTACCACAATAAAAAAAAAATTAATCTCAGACTTGGGGCAAGAGCCTCCCCTGAGTTTCGAAGGTCCTTATTTATTTACTTTCCCCTCAGGTGCAAGGGTAGTAGCTACCTTTTGCATTTATTATTTAAGTTTTTTTCTTGTTTATAAACGTAATATAAAATCTACCACTTGCTCTTTCGCTGTCTCTTTAGGTCCCAGCGGCGGTGGGGGAGGGAGGCCATCCGGGACAAGTTCCCCTGGGCGCTCCCCCATGGAGGAAGCGGTGCGCAGGGCTGCAGCCCTGGATGCTGGCATCTCCCACCGGACGGAGACGAAGGCGGTGGCCGCGCGAACTCCGGAGAGGGTAGCCGGAGCGGCCTGTGTGGGGGTGTGAGCGGAGGTGGCCCGGACCGGAGAGCGGAGGAGGTGGCCCGGGCCGGAGAGCGGAGGAGGTGGCCCGGGCCGGAGAGCGGAGGAGGTGGCCCGGGCCGGAGAGCGGAGGGGAAGCCGCGCGGCCGGCCTGCCAACTTCGGCTGGAGCTACTCTGCCAGGGCTTAAAACTTTAAATGAGAATAAAGGGTTTTATTTACGAGGAAATGAGAATGAATAAGTCATCTCTAACCTCTTCCAGCCTTTTATTCATAAGCGAGACCATATTAAACTTACATATCTATATCATTGGCTGCTGCTTTGGGAGTTCAACATCCTTCTGCATGTTCATTGTTGTCCCCACGTAGCACGGAAGAACTTCTCTGCACTTCGAAACAGATTCTGACTCATTGCTGTATTTGAAGACTGCATCATCCTGCCTCCAGCACCAACAGTTTCTCTGTTCTTGATCAATGTGATTCACAGTAGCTTTTCAAGTAACAAGCGAAATGAGCCAGGGGCATGGAAAGTATGACTTACATTGGTCTGGGATTGGCTATGAGTTCCAGTATTTTCATTGGAGGGAGTTTCATTTTGAAAAAAAAAAAAGGCCTGCTGCGACTTGCCAGAAAAGGCTCCATGAGAGCAGGTCAAGGTGGCCATGCCTATCTCAAAGAGTGATGGTGGTGGGCTGGACTGCTGTCAATGGCAGCTGCCAAGGTGGCCAACTTTGCTGCGTATGCCCTTGCACCAGTCACCCTAGTGACTCCGTTAGGAGCACTCAGTGTCCTGGTAAGTGCCATTCTTTCTTCATACTTTCTAAATGAAAGACTTAATCTTCATGGAAAAATTGGATGTTTGCTAAGTATTCTGGGATCTACAGTTATGGTCATTCATGCTCCAAAAGAAGAGGAGATTGAGACTTTAAATGAAATGTCTCACAAGCTAGGAGATCCGGGTTTTGTGGTCTTTGCAACACTTGTGGTCATTGTGTCCTTGATATTAATCTTTGTGGTGGGACCTCGCCATGGACAGACAAACATTCTTGTGTATATCACAATCTGCTCTGTAATTGGGGCAGTTTCAGTCTCCTGTGCTAAAGGCCTGGGCATTGCTAGCAAAGAGCTGTTTGCTGGAAAACCTGTGCTACAACATCCCCTGACCTGGATTCTGCTGCTGAGCCTTATAGTCTGTGTGAGCACACAGATTAATTACCTGAACAGGGCCCTGGACATATTCAACACTTCTATCGTGACTCCAATATATTACGTGTTCTTTACAACATCAGTTTTAACTTGTTCAGCTATCCTTTTTAAGGAGTGGCAAGATATGCCTGTTGATGATGTCATTGGTACTCTGAGTGGCTTCTTTACAATCATTGTGGGAATATTCTTGTTGCATGCCTTTAAAGACGTCAGCTTTAGTCTGTCAAGTCTGCCTGTGTCTTTTCGGAAGGACGAAAAAGCAGTGAATGGCAGTCTTTCTAGTATGTATGAAGTTCTTAATAATAATGAAGAGAGCTTAACCTGTGGCATTGAACAACACACTGCTAAAAATATCTCCGGAAGAAATGGAAATCTGACAGCTTTTTAGTAGGAGAGATGTAATTAAGCTATAACTGATATAAAGTGAATCTGAGTATCAGAATGTGTCTGAAAAAGCCTTGTTCTCAAATGATGTTCTCTAGAGACAATCCTTTTTTTTTTTTTAAAGTTTCACTAATTTGGACCAAGAAATTACTTATATTTAAATGATGACTCAATACATGGCCAATTTCTATTAACATTGTATTATTGTAGAGTTATTTTAAATTTTCCTTCACCAAAATCTAAATGCACTAATGACAATTTTAGGTCTATAAAAATGCTTTTTTTCCCCACGGGTGATGAAAGTCTGAAATGTACATTTTTCATGCCCACTCTATCAATTCCTGATCATTTTAAGGCTTTTTGATGAAAAAAAATTAACTCAAAAAAAAAAATCTACCACTTTACCCATTTTGAAGAGTACACACACTTCTAGAGGTTATGAGCTTAAACCAAGTTGTCGGCAGGGTTGGTTCCTGCTGGGCTTCCCAGGTGGCTCAGTGGTAAAGGATTTGCCTGCCAACGCAGTAGATGCAAGAGGCCTTCAGCCCCTGGGTGGGGAAGATCCCCTGGAAACTAACTCCAGTATTCTTGCCTGAAAAATTCCAAGGACAGGGAAGACAGCCCATGGGGTCACAAAGAATTGGACATGACTGAGCGACTGCATGACTGACTTGGTTCCTGCCGGGGCTTCTCAGGGAGGGTCTCCTCCATGCCTTTCTCCCAGCTCTTGGTGGTTGCTGGTGATCCTCAGGGTTCCCTGCCTTATGCCGGCATCATCACTCCAATTTCTGCTTCTGCCTCCACATGGTTGTCTTCCCTGTGTGTGCATCTGTTTTCTCTTCTTATTCAGTGACTTCACTTTCATTGATTACATCTGCAAAGACCCTACTTCCAATTAAAGTCATATTCCCTGGTATCAGAGGTTAGGACGTGAACATATCTTTTTGGGGAGGACACAATTCAACCCACGGCAGGAACCATCACTAAGGTGGTGACAAAGAAAACGGGCCACACGGTTTGCACCAAGTCTGCACACAGATCTGTTTACTTTCAGAGAAACAAACAAAAAAAGTCTTCTTTTCCTTTTCCAGCCTTGCAGTGTGCTTCAAACACCCTCTGTTGGCAGAGTTTAACATCCAGCTAGCTGGGAACATGGCAATGCAGTTTGCAGAGTACTATATTCTAGGGTGGAGGCAACACATCCATAACAGCCACAGGCTAAAGTTCTGCCTGCTTTGAAGGGAGCCTTCCCTATGTTAGTTTTATCTAGTTCAAAATCAGCTGTGGGACAATAACCTGGGAAGGAAAGAGTCCAAATAGAGGAGGTGCTTAGGCTAGATCTGGTAGGATACAGTGGGTGGGAGGATCTTGAAGTGGGAGAGGGATGATATTTTAGGCAGAAGGACCAGTATGAACAGAAGCAGGGCGTGTGATGGAATAGATTGTTAAAGAATCCTGAAGGCCATGCTAAGGTATTTGAATGCTAATCTGAGGGTGAACAGCAATATGACCAAATTTGTAATTAGAAAATGTCCCTTATCTCCAGGCAGCATGGGAACTCCTTCCATTTGGAAGGAGACCCTGAGCAGGTACCGATGAGCAATGAGCTTTTATAGGAGGAACATACATAAAGTAGACTGGGAAACCTGCATAGCTGAAGAGTCTGATGGGAGACAAGATTCAATAAGAATCATCACATGTTTCAAGTACGGAAACAACATGATCCGATGTGCATGTGGCTGGCATCTCAAACAGAACATGTCTCAAATGAATGCATCATCTTACACTGTAAGGTTACTTTCCTTCTGTGTTCCTAATTTCAGGAATGGTACCTGGTTTCTTAAACCTGAGTGTTATCAGGACTCATTCCCCTTCTTCACTCTTCCGTAATAATAATAATAAAAAAAACCCTGCCCATTTTTTCTTCATAAATGGGTCTCCACTTTTCTCCATTCTTTGTCCATCCTTGGTGCTACCACCTTGAAATATCCCTGTAGCATCGCTTGCTTGGATTGATAACTATCTCATAACAGTATGCCTAACATCTCCCAGCTCATTTTCTCAGGCAGAATAATTGTTCTGAAATGCAAATTTGAAGGTACCACTTTGTTATGTAAAAATTCTACACTGGCTCCACATTGCTCTTAGGATAAAGAGCAACTTCTTTATCTTGAAATAAAATGACTCTTCATAACCTGTCTTTTTCCAGTTTCATCCCCTCCACTCCTCATTCCCCACTACACCCCTAATCCAGCCATATAGACTTTTATTTCTGGAAAAACTTCACGTTTTTTTCTTGACTGTCTCTTTTTTCTTCTTGGTACTTAACGTCCCAACTTCCTTATCCCAAAACTTCTCCCTTACTCCCACCGCTCAAATTATCCTCTATTTGTTCTTCGTTTATGTTTATCTTGAATGAGTACTGAATTTTATTTAAAAATTTCCTGCATCTATTAAGATGATTATATGTGTGTCCTTTCCCCCTCTTTTAGTATGGTAAATTCCACTGTTTGAGTTTTCAAATTTTAAGCCATACTTTTATGTCTGAAAATAACTCCATTCAGTCGTGATATACTAGTCTTTTCATATGTTGCCAATTTTTATTTGGGAAAATATCGTGGAGTATCTTTGTGTTACATAACACATGAAGGCTGTGAGTATCTCTCTCTCTGTTTTGTTTTTTTTAAGACTGAGTGGCATGTGGCATCTTACTTCTCTGACCAGGGATTGACTCCCCCAGCAGTGGAAGTGAGGAGTCTTAACCACTGGACAGCCAGGGAAAGTTCCTATTTGTCCTTTAGAGTCAGTTTTGATGTTAATTCCTCCTGAAATAATTGACCCTAACTGACATAGATATACCTATGGCTGATTCATGTTGATGTTTGGCAGAAAGCAACACAATACTGTAAAGCAATTATCCTTCAATTAAAAATAAATAAATTTAATTTTTAAAAAATAGAGTCAGTTTAGATATTAATTCTTCCTGGAATAATTGACCTGAACTACACTTGTCTTGATTCTAATAATTTTAAGGTAGGCAGCTCTCCTATATGTCTCCACTACTTCTCTCTCTCTTTAATATATATATATAATATACATATACATATATATAGTATATGTTCTCTGTTATAGGATATATCTATCTTTACCTTGTCTCATTTTCTTAAAAGACTCTATTGTACTTTAAGTTTATTTATTTGCTTGTTTATTGTCTGTCATCCTCCACCAGAATATATGCTTCATAAGATCAAGAACCTTGTCTTCTTTACTCACCACTATGTCCCCAGAGCTTACAACAGTACCTAGTTCACAGTAAAGACTCAAGGGATATTTACTGAATGAATGATACAAACAACTTTGTTGAGGTAAAGTTCTTCATGTTTCTATACAGTCCCATGGAATATTTGGGACACAATTATACTAAAAATGTTTATCTGAAATTCAAATTTAACTGAACGATCTGTATTTTTTCTAGCAGCTGTGGAACACAGAACACATTCAGAACACATTCGAGAGTACGAGGATACATTTCTGAGGCTTCCTAGGTGGTGCTAGTGGTAAAAGAACCCACTTGCTAATGCAGGAGACTTAAATGAGGCGGGTTCGATCCCTGTGTTGGGAAGGTCCCTGGAGGAGGGCATGGAGAATCCCGTGGACAGAGAGAGGAACCTGGAGGGCTACAGTCACAAAGAGTTGGACACGACTGAAGCGATTTAGCACAAACGCACCGATACATTTTTAATTGTCAGGATTAGGGTGGTGGTACTACTGTAGTCTAGTGTTAGAGACCAGAGACGCTGCTAAACATCTTAGAACGCGTAGTGAGTAAGCAAGTGAAGTCGCTCAGTCGTGTCCGACTCTTTGCGACCCCGTGGACTGTAGCCCACCAGGCTTCTTCGTCCATGAGATTCTCCAGGCAAAAATACTGCAATGGGTTACAATTTCCTTTTCCAGGGGATCTTCCCGACCCAGGGATCAAACCCAGGTCTCCCGCATTGGAGGCAGACGCATTAACCTCTGAGCCACCAGAGAAGCCCTTAAAACGCCTAGGACAGCCCCTAAAAGGCAAAGAATTATCCAGTTCAAATGTCAATAGTGTGGAGGCTAAGAAACCCAGAACAAGATGGCCATGAACTTTAAGTCAGATAACGTCTAGAATCTCTAAGTTTAGTTTACTTTTGGAAAGGCGGAATGGGGTTATCGAGAGCCGGCTTTAAAACCCTGGGCACACATCTTGACGCTTAAAACCAGACCGCAAGAAAGCTAGATTACCAACCGCAGCCGCTGAGGTCGTGATGCCTTGAAGACTGCGCGGGAAGGGGACAGTAGACCGTTCTGCACACATGGTTAAGTGCACCTCAGAGACAGAGACATCCTTTAGGTCTGTCAGACTGAGAACAAACCCAGTCCTCTGGGACTAGGAACAAGGTTCCAGAGCTACCGGAAGCGGCCGGGCTGCTGAAGCGTCCTGTTCCCCTAGCAACGGTCGTGAAGGAAGTGGTTGCCGCCGCCGCGCCCGGTGCGCCTGCGCCGAGGCGCCGCGTGCTGACGTGGAGCTGAGCCTGGGCCGCCGTGTGGGGCGCAACGCCGAGTGCCGGGGTGCGGCTGGGCTCTCGGAGCCGTGGCCCAGCCGGGATGGCGATCCCGTTCGCTCCGCGCCGGGGAGCCGGGGCTGCCAACCGGCGCTGGTTCGTGCTGCTGCCGCCCCTGCTGCTCGCGCTGCTGCTCGCGCGGCCCGCGGCGGCCCTGGTGGAGGGACTCTACTGCGGCAAGCGGGACTGCTACGAGGTGCTGGGCGTGAGCCGCACGGCCAGCAAGGCGGAGATCGCGCGGGCCTACCGCCAGCTGGCCCGGCGCTACCACCCCGACCGCTACCGGCCCGAGCCTGGCGAGGAGGGCCCGGGACGGACGCCGCAGAGCGCCGAGGAGGCCTTCCTGCTGGTGGCCACCGCCTACGAGACTCTCAAGGTAAGCCTGGGGGCTGCGAGGACCTGCCAGGGAAGCGCGCGGCGCGACCCGGTTCTCACCTGGCCGGTGGAGCGAGGCTCCCTGTGATTCCGGCGCCCGGCTCGACCGCCTCTACCACCATTAGGATGCTTGGGTTTTCCCAAGTGAGAAATGGCCCACTGACGAAGATGGGAACCCCTTCAGTGTTGGGGAGTAGCTAGCCCCCTACTTTTTGTGGCTGTCTTCGGTATACAAAGGTTTGGGCTTCTTAGGATTTGGTGAAGGCATTTTAATAAGATGCAGCTCACACTCGGAAAGCAGGGTTATTATTACCGAGGTCTGTGATAGAACACTGGAAAGATCTCCAATGACAGTGCGATCGCCCCAATCTGACATGACAGAAACTTGGTTTTGGGGGATGGTATTAATTGTGACATTCAGCTTGGGCGTAAGGTTCTAGAAAAACACTAAGAACACCAGATGTTTGACTCTTGGCTCTGACACCCCCATGTCACCTTGGATAGTGACTTAATATGTCAGAATACCTGTTTCTTCATATGCAGGATTATGGCCATGAAACCTGCTCAGTGGGTTGTTATGAAGATTAAATGATCAATGAGAAACCTCCTATATAGGAGCTGCAAATTGGTGCTTAATAACTTGAGTTTCAAGACTCTGAGAATTTCTAGTAGGAAATATTTTGTGAATATATGTGTAGTTATTTGACAAAGGAGTTATTGAGTCCTATGGAAATGGGGAGGGCTTCCCTCCTAGCTCAATCAATAAAGAATCTGCCTGCAGTGCAGGAAACCCAGGTTCAATCCCTGGGTTGGGAAGATCACCTGGAGAAGGAAATGGCAACCCACTCCAGTATCCTTGCCTGGAAAATCCCGTGGACAGAGGAGCCTGGTGGGCTGCAGTTCATGGGGTTGCAAAGAGTTGGGCACGACTGAGTGACTAACACACTTATGGGGATGGGGAGATTTAGCCTGATCCTGTTTTCAGCACAAAGCAAACTATAGGAAATCACAAAGTACGAATCGTATTTGGTGTGTTACTGCTTCAGGGGTCTCTTCATGCTAATACAACAGCAGTTACAGTTATAGTGTATTTTTTTTCTATTTTTTCTTTCTTTTTGAGGCATAGTTTTTCATGTTATTGTATGGCCTGCTTTTAACGACTGCTTTGAGTGGGGATAGTATAATTCACCCGTGGATTATTTTTCCAGATAAGATTTCTAGGGCTGAAAATACTGAGTCAAGGAGTTCATGGCTTTCTTTCCAGAGCAGTTCAGATAATATAGAGCCATAAAACTCACCAAATTCGCACCAGCATTGGTGGGATTGCAGTGTTCATTGGCAGTTACCTGAGGAATGGGTGGGGGTTTGAGAAAGTGCAGTGGCCAGAGGCAACCAAGAGGGCTTGGTTGTCTGTTATTTAGGATAAAGAGTGACTAAGGAAAGACTGCCGAAAGATGGGGAAATTTTTCATCCAAGGCAGCCCGGCACCTGAAGCTCCAGTCTGCTGTTCTGCAGAGAGGAAAGAGAGCGGTCCAAGAAGCAACCGGAGCGCCTGCCACTCCTCCAAAGCCCTCCTAGTGCAGAAGGGAGCGCTGGGCAGGTGAAGAGCATCCGGAAGAGAGGCAGCAGAAACACTGGCAACTCTTGCCTTCTGCTGGGGTCGGAGATGGGTAGATTTGGCCTGAAAAGCTTGAGCCTCACATTAAGAACTTTGGAAACAAAGACCAAGAGACAGAGACAGTACAGACAGTCTGGCCCGGGGGTGGGGGCGGGGGAACTCCCAGGTCTCTTAACTGTTCTCGCTATTTTCTTGAAGAGACAAAAGCAGAGGCTGATCTGGTGGCTCTGTCATGGTTGCCTCTCAGTGTTTCTGCAAGTTTAGCACTGATTCGTCAGCTAATAAAAGCTCGAGGAAATAATTTGTCCACTCACGAACAAGGAACTTTGAGGCAGTTAAAAAGGAGTAAGGTCTGGAGAAAGGCGCACTGTTCCTCTTGATTGGGACAGGTTTGTGGTAGCTGCTGCTGCCCGGTCGCTTCAGTCGTGTCCGACTCTGTGCGACCCCGTAGACGGCAGCCCACCAGGCTCCCCCGTCCCTGGGATTCTCCAGGCAAGAACACTGGAGTGGGTTGCCATTGCCTTCTCCAGTGCGTGAGAATGAAAAGTGAAAGTGAAGTCGCTCAGTCGTGTCCGACTCTTTGCGACCCCATGGACTGCAGCCCACCAGGCTCCTCCGTCCATGGGATTTTCCAGGCGAGAGGACTGGAGTGGGTGCCACTGCCTTCTCCTGTGGTAGCTGCAGGTGCCTCCAAACAGGGAACTAGAATTAGAATTGCGGTGATGGAGGGAGTAAGAGAGTGTTCTATAGTTTCCCCAACTCCACACATTATTACTCAGGAGAACGGAAATTATCTGTGAGAGAAAAGGGGTGTCTGGACTTAGTTCGGACCCTTGCTGAGCTCTGTGAAAACGTTCATGTTAATTTTACATATTGTGAGAAAGTTATCAGAAGATATAATTTCTGGAGAATTCAGTGATCTGATAAACTGACATCATCCCCTCTAGGCAACAGTGTGTGGCACGATGTGCATGTTCAGTTGTGTCTGACTGTTTGTGACCCCATGGACCCCATGGACCAGGCTCCTCTGACCATGGGATTTTCCAGGCAAGAATCCTGGAGTGGGTTGCCATTTCCTACTGAAGGGGATCTTCCGGACCCAGGAATTGAACCCGCTTCTGCTGCATTGGCAGGCAGATTCTTGACCACTGTGCTGCCTGGGAAGCCGGAGGCAACGGAGATGTAACCCCTGTTACGTCTGTTACATCTGATGTCTGTTACATATCAGCCACTGTTACATCTGCTATATCTGATATCTGTTACATATCAGCCACTGTTACATCTGCTATATCTGATATCTGTTACATATCAGCCACTGTTACATCTGCTGCATGTTGCACTTGGATTACATTCACAGCCTGGAAGGAGGGCTTGTGAGGGCTAAGAGGTCCATCTGGCTTTTCCAGCAGGTCAGACAAAATGGTGGGAGAAGTTGATCAGTTCAGAGGCTCTGGAATAAAGATAACCACAGACGCCTGCCTGGAATTCCATATATCACCTCATGGAAGCAGCACTGCCTACTTGGGACCACATTTCCTTTCTATTTTCTCTTTTTGATACACACTATATATTTCTCCATAAAGAAAGAAAGAAAGTGAAGTTGCTCAGTCTTGTCCGATTCTTTGCAACCCCATGGACTGTAGCCTACAAGGCTTCTCCCTCCATGGGATTCTCCAGGCAGGAGTACTGGAGTGGGTTGCCATTTCCTTCTCCAGGGGATCTTCCCAAATCAGGGAGTGAACCCAGGTCTCCGGCATTCCAGGCAGACGCTTTAACCTCTGAACCACCAGGGAAGCCCACATATTTCTCCATAAAGACTAGCAATAAACCCTGTGAGTGGAAAAGGAGGGAGGATCTTGGTAGGGCCTTGGGAAGACTGTGTTCTCCTTCACAGCCGTGTTCAGTCATTGCCGGCATATGGCTGGAAAAGTTGATTCTGTATTTGCTTTGTAGAATGCTCAGGTAGATTCCATCTCCTGAGCAGTGTATGTGACAGAAATTGTTTCTTTTGTGAAATTCAAAATAACTCAAGTTATAAATTCACTGGAGCCAGGAGCCTTTTTTTCTCTTCCCCATAATTTTTTGATAACCTCCCTAATTTCCTATTCTTGGTGTGTTCAAGCCTCTTAATTTTTTTTTAACATAAAAAAATTGTCTTATTTAAAGAAGCTATATTATATCCTCGTTGCAACCTTACAGTGGTGTTCCATCAAAACTTGTAACAACCAAGCATCTCTGACTCACCAAAATGAGATTTATATTTGTGTAAGATACGGTGGGTTTATGACTCTGACGTTGGTCTTGGTTGAATAAACACCTCTTTGAGAGAGTTTTTTTAGATGGAGACTGTTTAAAAAGATGATACTAATGTGATTTAAATGTAGTTGGTCAGACAAAGAGATATCACAGTTGGTCATTGTTTTTATAGCAACAGAGATTCTTCCTGTGAATAGAGAGAATGGAAAAAAACCAGAAAAAGAAGGATAGTAATAATGCAGGGCAAAGGGAACTTGCCAGATGCTTTTACCAAGTCATGCTTAGTTCATGTTCTCAAATAACTTAAACTTCCAGATCTCAGCAGGGCTTGGAACCATTATGATTTCACACGCTGCTTTATATTTGTTTCATAACATGAGTTAGGATGATGAAATAACTATTTAGTGTATTTGACTACTAGGGGTTCAGGGGGACTCATGGACTTTGGAAGTTAAGTAAACAGACTCTCACTGTGTCAACGTTGGATCTTTTTCTGTGGATATAGCACTTATCACACTGCACTAAATACTGAGTAGCCCATCTCCCCTCTCCACCAAACCTTCTTTTTGCATATATATCTGTGGCAACTAGCACAGTGTCTGGCAAATAGATAATGAAAGTTTGTTAAATGCATCCTCCTATCTAGAGAGAGATTCAGATAGGATGGCAATTGAAAGTGAACTTCTGGTGTTTTGACACGAGTATATGAAGCTGACATTTTTACCCCAAATTAACTGTAGTTTGAAAAAGTGGTACAGATAAAATAAATTGGATAGTTATGAATGAAAAATTCTGATGTGAAAGATCACATTTCTATTTTTAAGGAGAAATTATTTTCTCAAGGGTTTTAAAGTGAGAACATTAATTCTGAATATACATAAGAATTGGATGAACTAGATAAAATGAGAAGACTGGCATAGAAATAAGCAGGTGAGGAAATAGGTGGTAAGGAAGGATGCACTTATAAAACCTATAATTGGTAGACAGGGGTAGAGTTTGATAGCATTTTGCAAGATCACAGGAGAAGAACACAGAAAAGGTCTTGGAGGTATTACTGGCATGCAGGTTATCTGATACTTTGAAGGGATGTGTAGAGAGTGCCTTCTGCTCCAGCCTTGTCTTGGCAGGGAAGTCACAGGAACACTTCAGTTTCTCTTTATCGGTCTGGTTGATGTGGCAGGACTTTGGCAGTTAAGAATGATTTGGCAAAAAGGGGATTCTGAACTTCCTGCCCTGTTATGTTACTGTTTATTGTTCTCCCTTTGTATATTCTCTTAATCAACCCTGTCTCCTAACTGGTACTGACGTAAGTTCTGAAGGAGGAGACCATAGCAATGAAAAAGGCACAATTCCTGCCTTTAAGCTTTTAATATAATAAGGAGACAGATACTTATTGTTCAGTTATTGTTTATTTAAGTTACATTATTAAAATATGCAGCTTATATTGCAACACTGAGAGGGCACAATTATTCTTGGAGGACTGGAGAAGAATGTACTCTTTGATCTGGATCTAGAACAGTCACCACGGTTGACTGTGAAGGGACATTTCTGGTAGAGAAAATTCTTGATCCATGAAAACATGGAGTTGTGAGTGTGCAAGGCTTGTTGCAGCAATGAGATGTACAATCACTTTTATGCTTTTCCCAGGGACTCTGTTTTGGAGGAAGAAAATTAGCCGCACTTATTGGTATTACTATCCTATTGGTATTTTTTTTTTTTTCAGCATCGATCCAGATTTTAATCAGTCATTCATAATAAATGTGTATTCATAAAAATAATAGAAATGATGTGAATTTGTATTACTGTTGTGATGCTGATAAACAGCCAAGTTAAGTAAGCTTGATGGCAGATCATTTTCATTTCATAGAAACTCTGATTGGTCACAACTTCATGTAACACTTACGCGTTTGGGGGGCCTTTTCTGGGTTTAGTGGAAAAGATGACATGTTGAACAGTTCTGCCACTGGCCCAGAAGAAGGATGTGGTACCTTTTGTGCCACATTTGCTATTTCTGCTGTAAACCCCTAAGTGTTTATTTTTCACATGTTACATGTTAATGTCACATGTTGCTCCCTACTTATGGCCAAGGTTGATTACACACCAGATGTGCTTAATTCTAGTGCTGTGACTGCCTGACAATGATGTTATCAACAGCCCATCAGAGCTTTTGAATAACACAAAAACTACTGAGTTGATGTAATTCTAGGCAGAAACTAATTTTGCTTGTGTAGGTAAATGGAATATTTTGAGATATTTCCAGCACAAAGACCCTCAGTGTATTTTTAGAGATTGTAGGGGATCTACTGTTTCTAGGTTAGAAGCCTCTCAGGTGCATGGTAGGGAGAATGTTTCAGGACTGGAAATAGTTTGGGATGACCCCTTTAAACTATGTGTTGAACTTTATGTATTGACGAGTTACCAGAGGTTTGAAAGTGGATAAGTAACACAAGTCTGATGTTTGTTTCAGAAAGAAATTTCTGGGAACGAGATTGAGGATGGATTGGGGAAGACAGGAAGGTATTCCTGACTGAGCTCATTTTACTTCCACCTTAGTCTTCTGGAATCTTATCATTCCTCTTTGATAACTTGGGAATCTCTTAATTGGTTCATCTCTCATTCCTTAATTTTGAAACTGTGGTCACATTTTTCTTCTTTCTTCACTGTTGGCTGTCCTTACTTCCTTATACCCCTTCGTTTAAACTGTCACAGATGGACATGTGCATCAGTACACATCCTGGAACTGTTCTTCCCAAGATGAACAGTGATGTTCCAGCCTCAGATCAGAGGGCTGCTCTTCCTTTTGAAACTGTTTGTGGCATTTGATGTCCACCATGTAGTTCTTTAAGCTGTTCTCCTTTGACTGCCTTGATGTAATTCTCCCCCTCTGCTCTGAGCTTTCTAGCCATTTCTTTCAGTGTATAGACTTCTTTTCCCTCTGCTTTCACCTTAAACATTGCATTTCCTTAGAGTCTTGTCCTTTGGGTACTCTTTCCTTTTTATTTTCTAAGCTCTTCCTGATGAAACTCAACCGCATCCTCGACAGTCCTGAAATTTGTGCATTCTCTGGGTTCATATTTTTAAATTGTCTCTCATTTGTAGCACAGGTACCCAAAATTAAACATGAAACCAATTCTATTATCTTTGTCAAAAGCATAAATTTTAAAAGAGGATGACTGTCATACAAAATGAACATGTGTCAAAGATTTTATTTAACTCATTAATGTGCAAACCAATAAGATATTAAAGTGAAAGTCTCTCAGTCGTGTGCAACTCTTTTCGACCCCGTGGAATAGTCCATGGAATTCTCCAGGCCAGAATACTAGAGTGGGTAGCCATTCCCTTCTCCAGGGGATCTTCCCAACTCAGGGATGGAACCCAGATCTCTTGCATTTCAGGCGGTTTCTTTACCAGCTGAGCCACCAGGGAAGCCTGAAAGAAAAAGTTCCAGACCCTTTACAGTCAAGATAAGGAGTGTTGAAATGCCTATAATACTGGTCAGCATGACAAGGCAGTCATCAGTTCCCTTAATTCTACTGGACACAGTTTGTGTGAACAAGAATTATTTGCATTACTCCCAGTTTTCCACAAGTTACTTTCCTACAAAGTAACTTTTCAAATATAAATAAAAGCAAATATAAATAAATATATAAATAATATAAATATATAAATATAAATATAAATATAACTAAATGAAATAAAAGACTTTTCAAATATAAATAAAAGCACGCCCCTCCTACAGGAATAGGTAATCCCTGGAGGCTCCAGGCTTTGAAAAGCTGTCCAGTAATTTTTTTCCCTCCCCATTTCAAAATCTTCCACAGTTTCCCCCTGCACCTTCTCCACACTTGATACCCTCTTCTTTTATTCTTAGAATAAAATGGTTCGCAGAGTGACTATAATTAGAAACATCACTGTTCTCAACATGATTGATTCGTGTACCCCTTTAATCATGAGAAGTCTTATTTTTTCTGCTTCCTAGTCTCTAAAATCCATTTCTCCCTCATCCCATTCTTTATAATACTGTCAGAGTTAGCTTCCAAAAATACACACTTCTCCCCAGTGCTGTTAGTCTCATACTGGAAACCCTTTTATGTTTGAATAGCGCAGACAGTTCACACTTTTAACCCTTGAGCATGGCATATAAGAGCCCCTGCAGTTCTTAGCAAACCTGTCTTCTGGCCACATTCGCTACCCCTTTCTCCCCTAAACTTGCCCAGTGCCTAAGCTTCACCGAATCTGTTCCCTTCACTATGCTTCTGTACCTTGACACTTGCTGCTCCCTTTGCCTGGAACAAATTTTGCTGCATCTTATTTACTTCTCAAGATCGAGCACTCCTTTCGTGCCTTCCGTGAATCCTGTTGCCAGTGGTCTCAGGCAGGGAAGTCCGTGCTTGGTTCATGGCTTCTCTCGCTCGCTGGATTCTCCCTGCGTGCGGGGAGCTCTTGAGGCCAGGACTGTAGTTCGTCTTCTTATCCCCCTTTGTGTTCAGCACATGGCTTAAATGCCTTGCGTAGCTATTTGCTGAGCTGAAAATAACTAAGGTTTTTTAAAGCTCAGGTAACCAAATAGATGGTTAACAAACTGAAACACTGGAACAGATCTATATTTTGACCATGCTGAACTTGAGATATTTATGTTACATTTAGGAAATGTTCAAGAGCTATCTCAAAATACGAGAAGCAGGAAAAACAGATCTGAGTGTCACTCTTAGTGGTATAGAGGTGATACTGCAAATGGTGGAAATTACTGTGAGCACATGCAGACTGAGAAAAGATGTTTAAGAGGACAGTTGCCTGAGTGGCTGCTGGGCAGGGAACAGGAAGAGAAATGGGAACTCAGAGCAGTTAACTTTCTTCCTCTTTAGTAGGGTGTAATAGTCTGGAAGAAAAAATCAGATTTTTTTTTTTAAAGGATCATTTGTGTGTGAATTTCTCTCAAAAATAGGATGAATATATATGTTTTTAAGAATGAACAACTATTACTCTATTTTCATATATTATTGATTCTTGGCCTTTACCATCCTAAATGGTTTCTATTATTTGTGTAATTGAAAATTTTTAATGTGAAACTGGTTGCAGTATCAAATTATTGCAGTTTACATCTGTTGAGATCAAACAACTCCTTATTTCTTCCAAGGACAAGAACATAATATATTTTTGCCTCTGGGGAGGGGGGGATGATCATTTTCACAAGAGAAGGAAGCGTTCAGTGCTTGCTTTGCCTGTGGGTCTCCTCTTGTTCACTTTTGATCTAGATATTGGTGGTTATGTTCCAGTCCTCCTGCATATGCCCAAGAGGATTGGGAGTGGAGTGAACACCAGCAGAAGCACCATTTTTTCCTGTAGAGATTAGAGACAAGGAGCTTATTGCCCTGCTTGTCAAGGCTCAGGACAGAGAGGAAGAAACAAGTATAAAGGTTTTGGCTTTGGAAAGAAGTTGGAATCTCCTGACCCTGGGACCTTAAGATCCACAAAATTGCTGAAAGAAAAAGTACTACCTTATTGAAAGGTAAGATATTAACACTGTTTTAAGGTTTAAGCTCTCATAGCCACATTGGCATATCTTCATAAGCTATGAAATCAAGCAGTCATTTCTTGCCAAGCCCAGGTTTTTGTGATAACCCATCCCACCTTCATGGTGAGGTGGAGACCTGGGTGGCTGGGGAGATGTCTGCAGTGAGGGAGAGCCTCTACAAAATTTCATTCAGTTTTGAAATGATATTTATTGAATGCCAGGCACTGTGCTAGGCCTTGGATATACAGAGATTAATGGATCACCCTACCTGCCTTCTACAAGTTCTCATTCAAGGCAAAGAAAAAAACCCTGATGATTACAATGTGATAAGTGCTATAATAAATAGGTAATAACTGTAGTAAGAGTGGCCTGAATCTGTCTACTATTGTTTATGTCCTAAGGGTTAATAGAAGCTCATGAGGTTGGATAAAAGGAAAGAGCATTTGAGTTAAAGTGAATTATCTGTTCAGACATAGATATAAAAGAGCATGCTATACTTAAGAACACACCAAATTCCAGAAGCTGCTATCTGAATGTTTGCTGTGGGCAAAAGAAGAGAGAGTGATGAGATGTTGCTAAGGAGGTAAACTTAGGCCAGTTTTGGAGGCCTTGTTGCACGCCAAGGAAGATTGAACTTAACTTACTAGCCACTGGGAAGCACTGGAGATAACAAACAAATAAACTGTGAGGCTACTTAGGTCCCAAGATGGGTAGGAGAAAAGATAGATATATAATATTAAAATAAGAATGTACGTGAAACTCTTTAATTGGGTCCCAGTTTGTCTTTTCTTTTTTCCTAATATTCCTGGTGTCCTGTGTACTTATTAGGTTGACTCTAAACTTAGTAGGTTACTGAAGAGTAGGACTTTGACTTAGATTGTTGAGGCTCCCTAACTCTTCAATTTGTGCCAACCTTGAAACGACATTGTAAAGTGTATTATGCATGGATCAGCTTAAAATCCATTTTCTTCATTCTGGAGAGAAAGCTATAAGCCCAGTAAAGAAAGAAGATTGTGGCTGAATAAATGCTATAACAAGGGGAACGCAGGCCTTCTTGTCTCTAATCATGACCAAAACAGGGTCCTGAAATTATGGGCCCCAAGGAAAAGAAAACCATTCTAAGAGAAGTCAGGCTTGACCCTGAAACCATTTACAGGGATGAGGTAGTTTGAGGACTCATTATAGAGGGACCTGAATAGACCCCACAGGCTCTGGTGACAGTAGAGAGGCCAGACATAAGGTATAAATTGTGAAGTTGCTGGTGCTCGAGCATTAGCTGACCATCTTGTTAATGAAGCTCTGGGCTTGATGAAGTCACAGACCTAGGGACCAGTGAGAAGATGGTGACTCGGGGGTAAGACACGGGTGAAATGCTTGAAGAAGGATATCTGCATTCTATGGATTATGACCTTCACTAAGATAAGAGAACAAAGAAGAGAGCGTAGCCCCCGGGCGTATACGCATGGTATTCACAGAGCGCATTTCAGAGACGCTCAGATCTCTGTATACTGCAGCCAGGAGGAGTGCAGACAGTCAGGCCTGGCTGAGGGCGCTGCAGAGATGATGCTGCCGGAGGGCTGTAGGAATCTCACCTCGCGGGCAGTTAGCTTCTAAACTACTTGTCATCTAGTTGGAGCAAGGAGAAGAATCGTGTTTGAAGAAATACATTTCAAAAAGCGTCTGCCAAGACTGGGAGGCTGAATTTAAAAAAGGCAATAATTTCAGGCCAGACACAGAGCGTATCTATAAAGTTAGTCCAAAAAGCAAAAAAATGGAGGGAGGATGGAAAAATTCTCCAAAGATGTCTTGAAGTACTCAAAATGAGGTACATCAGATAGGCTTTCGTCTTCAGAGCTCTCTGTATGACCTGCAACGTTTTACCCTCTTTAGGTTAGAAGCTCTAGAATATGATGACGGCTTATAGAAGGAATAATGCACTGACAGTTGAGGCGTGTGGCTTGCAGGGTCTCAGTTCCCCGACAAGGGATTGAACCTGGGTGGTCACAGTGAAAGCCTGGAATAGGATCACTAGGCCACCAGGGAACTCCTGAGAAAATCTTTTCTGATGAAAGAGGATGTACAAGAAGTGAATTTGAAAATAGCAGCCTGAGCTCAGCTTTCCTTGTATATCGGCTCAGCTTTCCTCTCATATTGGCTCTCCATATAGTGTCATGGAATATACTTTAAATGTATTTACATCTAATTATACTAGATACTACTTCATCTAGCTTCAAATTCTAGTCAGAAGTAAAAAATATTTTGAATGTAATGAATGTAAGAACTCTTACCGAGAATGTGCTCAAATTCAGAATTCTTTTTTTTTTTCCAAATTCAGAATTCTTCATAGGAAATATATAATAATTTTAATGGGTACAGGAAAGATTTTGTCATTAGCAAACTTTTTATTTTAAATCTAAGAAACTGCATATTGGAGGACTCAGGAGGAGGCCCTGAACAGATCAAGTGCCTCTATGGTTACAAAGCACTAAATGTAGATTTTGAAATGGTTTTGCTAATAATCTGCAGTTTTATGAATGTTGAATAATTAATTTATTATAGAAAGAAATCCTCTAGGTTTAAAAAAGATGTTTGTTTTCATAATGATTTCTGTTGTACTCACTTAGAGATAAAAGAATTTGCTGTGGTATTGGTGCTTAACATTTTTTCTGGAAACAAGACAAGCTGAAAAACAGGTTTTTGTGGGATTTAAAAAAAAGCAAATCATAATTTAATAGCTTTTTAACCTATGTAACTCAGTAAAGGGTTGGCATTTTTACCTGTTACAAACTGACTCAAATTACAGAAGGTTTTAAAAAATGTTTTATTTGTAAACATTTGAGCAGCATTTCAGAAGGCTATAATTTTTTCAACATGTTTACATGATTAAGAAAGAGCTGTATATTACCTTATCTATGAACTGGGCTGTGAAAACGTTATAATAGTAAAGAAGAACACATTTTTAACATGTTTTTATATGATATACGTCATTTGATATTCAAAACAGCCCTGTAAAATTAGTAGGGCAGCTATTAATATCTCTGTTTTACAAGTGGAGAAGAGTGAGGCTCAGAGAGGCTAAAAGTTTTGCCTAAAGTCACAGAGGTAGATTTTGACCGTTCTACTCCATCAGTGTTTCAGTGTTTCCTTGAGATGGACATAATTCAGTTTTGAGGGCGTAGACTGGTTTTGTCTATTTTTTTGTTATCTTAATCTTTGCTTCCAGAAGAAAATGTACTATACAAGGCTGGGAAATGATTGTGAATATATACAACAGAAATAAACATTCTTTTTTTCTGTCAACAGTTACTGAGAGTAGGTGTCAACATGCTCTCAAAGTATAAGAACAAATCTATATCCTTATTAGCACCGCAGCACTGGCTAAGTAAGCATAGTTCTTTGCTATTGAAGTGTTTTTATGTTTTCCAGGAGGCCTTATAGTTCTCAAGAATTTGAGGAAAAAATTTAAATTCTGCTTTATACCTAATATTAAAGTTCTGGAAACAAATTTGTGTGTGCCTTTGAGGAATTACGGGAATTTTTTTTGACAATGTGTTCTTTTACTTAGATTGACTACATAATTATAAAATCTAGGTCTGACTATAACAGCTTACTAACTAAGGCCCTTTTATGAGCTGCCATATGAACCTGGGTACCCTGTTCTNGGACATACATGTCTGTGTATGTGTGAAGGCGTGCACATTGCCTGGGACATATATGTCTCTGTGTAGGTGAAGGCGTGCACATTGCCTGCTGCTCGTCATTAAAACTGAACTAGAAGTATGCTTTTGTGCAGTTTTACTTCCAGTTCAGATTAACTTTTTATGTTAGAAAAATATTTAATCAGTTAATAGTAGTGGAATCTTTGATGGCAGGAAGTCTTAAGAAATTGTGCATGTCATTATATAACTACTAAAACTAATTACCAAACAGAAAACCCAGATCTCTTCCTCATTGCCTGCTCTGACAGCCAGAGTGACTGTCAACTAGATCCATCTGATCTACTGGTGACCCTTGAGCAGCATGGGTTTGAATTGCCCGGGTCCACTTAGACTCGGGATTCTTTTCACCAAACGCGGCCCTGCACCACAGAACCACACAGTTGAGCCGGCTGAGTTGGAGGATAGGGAGGGACCATGTATATGCACAGTTGGCACCTACGGAGGGCCAACTATGAGTTACACTCAGATTTTGCAGAGAGTGGGGCCCCCTCGTGTGTTGAAGGACCAAACTGTACTTTCATAGGACTTTTCAATGATTTCTCATTAAACTTGGGGAAAAATCCAAATTCCTTAATATGGCGCAACAAGTCCTGGCATCTGCCTACTGAATGCCGGGAGTATAGTGCTTGCCACCATTTAATAAACAGAAATCTCACACATCTCCACGTGACAGCTAAGGGCACTCCTGCTCCAGTTTAAAAACCACTGAAATAGAGTAAAAGTGCTACAGTAACTTCATGTTGTTTTAATATATCACAGAAATATAAGTTCAGGCTGAAATGAGCTTTCCCTACTATTAATTCCTAAACTAACCATACTTATCATANAAAAAAAAAAAAAAAAAAAGACTAGAATGAAGCAATTTGCTAGTTTCAAAATTACTTCTCCAGTTTAATTCCCAGAAATGAAATTCAATTTATATGACAAAAGAATTCCTATTGAAAACTAAAATTGTGTATTTTAAATGTTTCTGCTTTTGTAGTATTGCCTTTTCAACAGGGAGAGGAAGGGCAATTTTACTTTTCTGTTTTAGATAACATAATACTCTAGTCACTTTTTTGTTGTTGTTGCTATTAATAGATTGCTTCTATGATATTTCAGGATACTGGTATAATTGCTGTTTTATTCAGTAAAATAGCTGAAATGTGTGGAGGTACTATATGAGGAGTAGTACTTTTTCTGATAATAAAACCCTTTGTGGTTGAATATATTTAAGAAATAATTTAATGTTTTCTTGCCCAAATAAGTAAAGATTCAAACATACTTGAATCTTTCAGTTCATAGTATGATGAACATTACTGTGGTATGTGCAGATGGTTTAGGAAACAGATAAATATCGTTGCCTGAGTCTACCCTGTGATTGTTTGAAAGAAACTCCTTATGACCTAGTTTTGCCATTTGACGACTCCTCCAGTAAGTAGATTGCAACCTTAAAGAAAGAAGAGGGATTTCTTAATTGCGATCTAAGGAGGAGTCAGATGGTAAAGATGTGGAATCAACAGGTACGGTGTGATTCCCCTGAGCCATCCTCTGATCCTGGGTGTCTCCTATGGAGAATCAGTGACTTTTTGGCTCAGCTGACATCTGACTTATCAGTCCTGAAGATTCCCATGTCCACACAGCTATTATTGAACTGTATCTTTAACCTACAAAGTAAGGTTTTTGAGGTCCCCTGTTTTTAATCAGAATGGGTTTTTTGTGGGCAGGATTGTGTTCACCAAGATGAATTTTGGTAATAAAAGTGATCCGTTTGTCTTTGTTAAATATTCTAGTTTTTCAGCTGGTGGAATAGCTATGACAAGACGATCAGCTACCTGGCCACAGTGCCCAAGTACCGTATCCAAGCCATGGAGATTGCCAAGCAGCAGGGATTGCTGAGAAAAGCCAAAGAGAAGGGCAGAAACAGAAAGTCCAAAGAGGAAGTTCGTGATGAGGAGGAGAACATCATAAAGAACATTATAAAAAGTAAAATAGACATAAAGGGGGGCTATCAGAAGCCCCAGATACGTGACCTTCTCCTGTTTCAGATTCTCTTAGCTCCTTTTCACTTGTGCTCATATATAGTGTGGTATTGCCGATGGATCTATAATTTTAACATCAAAGGCAAAGAATACGGGGAAGAAGAAAGACTATATATCATACGTAAATCTATGAAGATGTCAAAGTCTCAGTTTGATAGTCTAGAAGATCATCAGAAAGAAACTTTTCTTAAACGTGAGCTTTGGATAAAGGAGAATTATGAGGTGAGTAATGACTCTGCTGTGATTTTTACGGTTTCTCTTCCTTACCAACTTAAAACTAAAGGATCACAGAAGTGTGCTCTAATTTCTGAAATCGAATAGTTCAGTATGGATAAAGATCTTCTGTTGACAGTACGACTAGTAGTTGAACAGTGAGTTTTTAACCTGTAATTTGTCCTTTTAAAAGATGAAATTCAAATACTTTAATTCACTAATGCTAAAAATTTAAAAAGAATGGTCTAATTTGTTATGTTAAATTGCACTGGGATAGAATGTATATTTGCAAGGATGTCACCATTTTCTATTAATTGCACCAACTAAACTTTGATCGTAACATCGTATGACCTGAACTAATTTTATGGCTGACCCAATATATGAAAAGCTTTCACTTTTAAGTAGTTTAAGCAGCCCACTATACAATGAACTGTCTGTCATGGAGTGCTATCCTGGGCTAAATTATGGTATTAGGTGAAATTATCTTAGTCATTACTTCCTGAAATTTGGAAGTAACGTAATTTCCTTCTAAAATTTGATATGGCTGTGAAATTGGTTATGAAAACTTGTCCATTTAACTTTAACTGACATCCACTAAAGATTATAGAAATGAAAGCTGTTCTTTGTTTTTAACCTCTGTGGTTTATTTAACGTTCTTTGGGAACTTTAAAAATATTTTGAAAAACCAATAATTATCTTTGAAGATAAAAGAAGTTGTAAGTTCAGTTTGGAGACCGAAGTTTTTATAAGGTCACTTTGTTCCTTGGCTAGAATCAACATATACTTAAAGTCATCTGTTAAATTTACTGAGTATCATGTTAAGAAAATTTATGTTGATTCTTCAATGTTGGATATTAGTTGTAGAGAGGAAATGTTTAAACCCTTTAAACTCACCTTACATATAATTTCAAGGAAGAAAAGAGTGTATTTCCAGGTTATAGAAATCAGTGGGAAAAAACACTAGATCTTGCATGAGTTGTTCTTTTTTATTTTTTGATTTAACACTGAATGTTAAACTGCTTAATTGCTTAGTATTTTTTGGTGCATGGTTTTCAGAAGACAAACCAATACATTCATTGGGAACTTTTACCTAAAATTATATTTGAAAAATATAAACATGCTATTGTGGTTCAGTTGTTGTGTCCAACTCTTTGCGAGCCCATGGACTGCAGCGCACACCAGGCCTCCCTGTCCCTCACTATCTCCCGGAGTTTGCCCAAGTTCATGTCCATTGAGTTGGTGATGCTGTCCAGCCTTCTCATCCCCTGCCGCCCTCTTTTCCTTTTGCCCTCAATCGTTATCAGCATCAGGGAAACATGTCATAAAGCTAATGAAAATGTTTCTCTTTGGATTGTCAAGTCAGTTCGTGTTATTTATACTTATAGGTCTACAAACAAGAGCAAGAAGAGGAACTAAAGAAAAGACTGGCAAATGACCCTAGATGGAAAAGATATAGGAGATGGATGAAGAATGAAGGGCCTGGACGGTTGACGTTTGTGGATGACTGAAGACCACTGGAATGCTGCTATGCCAAACCTTAACTGTGATACTGTTTTCATAACTGAATTATTTTAGCAATGTATCAACTGCACCTCAGCAGTAACTAAAATTCCTCAAGAATTAGATTAAACAGAATAATGTAGACATTTAAACTTTCCCTTCAAACTTTATACATAAGACATTTATGATTGTTCAATTTTTATAATCGATTTGTGGATTTTGTTAAAAGACTTGACAGGAAGATTTATTAGTTGCCATTTAAAAGTTTTATATCTTTAGTTAAAAATTTGACATGAAAATTTATTAGATACCATTTAAAAATATTACGTGTTAAGTGTTTATTCTTCAAAAGTGTTTCCTTATTCTTTGTTAAGTGCTACATTTTTCTGCTTTTGTGACCTCTGATAGTTTCACAGAACGTAATTATAACACCATTTAATTACATGATTGAGCTTGTCTTTCTAGACACAAACTTCTTCAGCAAAACGAATTCAACTATCATGTCATCTTCATGACAGTCATTATAGGATTGAAATAAGTTCAAAATATCTCTCTGGGAGAGTCTTCTGCTGGGCTGTCTTTATACTATCTCCCCCCAGTCATAATATTGTTAATAAGATCAGAAACTCTCCAGGAGAGTGAATGTACCTTCCTGTCCTTGTGGGATGGTCTTGATTACAGTCATTATAAGACTATAACTGTGCTCGCAAACATTTCTCCAGAAGAGGACCTCATAAGAAGGTCTTTTTGTAACACAGCATTGCTTTCTTAATCTTCCCTTCAATTAAAAAAAAAGCAAAACACAAAAATGGACAGAGCGAAAGTAGTGTAATGAAAAGTTCATATATTATGAAGTCCTTGATTAGTGAAAAATCTATTTTATGTGAGCATCTTTACATGCATTTAAACCAGAAAGAAGTGCATGGGTGTGTGCTGTTCTGTCAGACAATGAAATGTAAATGTTTTATGCGTGTGGAAGTGAAAGTAATTCACACGTAATTTGACTGACTTGAGTATCATACTGCAACAGAGTACCGAAACACATTCATGGTAGCTGGTCAGTGCTCCTGTTCAAAGATATATCCCAGCCCATCATTTTAATAAAATGGTTGCAATATATCCCAGGTTTGTTGGTATGCCATTTTAAGTCAAAGATTAACATATTGCTTCTGTATTATTTTAAAAGATGTAGCATAAAAGTATAGTATAGTAGATAGGCAGCATCAGTTTCTCCTCCAAGGAAACTCGGCCTTTCAAGAGCTCAGCCCAAACATCTGACACATACAGGGATAGAGGAGGGAAGAGTTCACCAAACCTGTTAATATAGCGAAAGACCTGAGGTGGATTATATATTTCTGTGAGTGAGGGCCCCAGTTACCTCATTAGAAAATCAGGGGAGCAGTCTGGCTAGATTACCACTAAGGTCCTTTTGCAGCTCTAAAACTATATAATATTTCTATTTTTGTAGACTTCAGATGAAAGTGTTTTATGCATCCATTCTTTTTTGGGAGGGTGTGGAAGTCACAACCCTAAATTATAGGAAGCTGTGTTTCAAACCCCAAATACCCCACTCTTAACCGTAGATAAATGCCTTTTAAAGGTGCTGCAGTTGTCTAGAGTCAGTAATCCCTATCTCAGTGAACGTGTTATCATACATTTGACACACCACAGTATTATCTAAGAATGAAAGTGTGTACCATATGTTACAAAGACCAGAAAGAAATGTAGGTACTTGCCCTTCTGTTAAAATTTCAAATACGTTAATGATTAACTGTATTTTTTTTTTAAAACCTGGTGATAAGGAAAAATAAAAGGACTGAATGTGTTAGCATTCATAAAGGTTGACTGTTGAAAACAGTGTATCTTTGGATATTATTTTGCATATATGCTAGATTGCTGTATTTCTTTTGGTCTTTATATAGGACTCTCATTTCTGTTCCTGGCAACCTGCTTACTTGGTAAAAGTTTGGTCTGTCTTTTGGAATCATGGCCATTGAATGGGTAAGATGAATGGACTTTCCTTAACAGGACAGTGATTCTTCTCTCCCCTTTCCTTAGCAAAATGGCTTTATGCTTCAAAATCCTGGAGGAAAGGAAGGGCAACTAGTTGTATCACAAGTGTCATTCAAGTATCCTGGGTTTCTTTACTAGTAGTCACCTTACTCTGCCCATCCCCACCAAAAACCCAACAGCTTCTCCATTTTAGAAACATCTGGAGAAGAATCTTGAGTAGGGGATCCCAGAACCCCACTATAGTTAGAAAACCTTTCTTGAGCTTCATTTTAGAGCTATCACCATTTCCTTTTTACTTGAAATTCAGGAGTTTACAAAGCATAGTTGCTTATTGGTTTCTGTTTATTATGACTTCATGTAATTGAGGTCTGTGCTAAAACTACCCTTAGAGCTACATTCACATCAAATATCCTCATAGCAGATTTCAAAACTGATCCTTCCTTCATTGGTCTTATTTCTTTATGAATTCTCCAAGTTCTACAGATTGTAGGTTGCAGTTTCATAACACATCTATCAAGTAGGGACCATGACTAGAATTTTAAACACTACAAGTGGTATGTAGAAATTTAAAATACAAGTGGTATACAGAAATTTAAAATATTACATGCAAAAATAGTTCAGTTTACAGAATTGACAACTATTTTAGTACTATTGAATTATGTTTAGAAAATTGTAGTTTATTTCCTTTAAGATTCTTTATTTTTTGGACAGAAAGGGCAGTAAACTTTTAACACCCATGCCTTGGAAATATTTTCCCTGAGTGGAAGCCAACTGGTAAGCTTACATTCTGCTAATGTTATAAACCAGTGTGTTAGCCCCAAACTGAAAGTTCTGTGGAAATTAAAGAGAAATGGCTTTTATTAGACATTAGTATGACTAGGTCTAGCTACTTAAAGACTTTATATTGGACATGGTCTCTGGAGTTATAATTGTGCCCTTGAGGCAGATAAATGTTGATACCGATACAAAATAGTTGTGTATGGATGAATTACAATTTTATTTACAAAATGCAATACTCTTCACCTTTAAATATGTACTAAGGCCAAATCTGAACCCTAACAACTAAATAAAATTTGCTAAAGAAATTAACCTTTCTGGTTTCCTCATCTGTGAAATGAGGGGATCTTTTTAGAGAATCAGGACTTAATCTATAAGCCTGAAAACTTACATAGGTTTAGGGTCTTAAGTACCTTAGATGGCTTGCAATTGAGAAATGTTACACATCATTTAAGTAAAAAACCTACATAATTTGTCATAAACTTAATCAGCTTCTTATCCTTGACAGTGGTGTATATAATGGGTCACATGACCTTAGGTCAGAGACATATGGGATTTCTTACAGACTCCTCCCCAACTTCATTAGGGATGAAGAACCTCCTCCCATTTCACTGTGTCTTCTTTTGTGACCTCAAGACGAGTGAGCAGAATGCAGTCGCATGGTTCAGGCTTTGCAGCCAGATCAAAGTTGAGCTTCTTGGCCATTCGGCTAAGATCAAGTTTAGGATGGGGACTTCCTAGATGGCACAGTGGTGCCAATGCAGGGGCCACAAGAGATGCAGGTTCCATCCCTGGGTCGGGAAGATCCCCTGAAATAGGAAGTGGCAGCCTGCTCCCGTATTCTTGCCTGGAAAATTCCACTGATGGAGGATCCTGGTGGGCTACAGTCCATGGAGTTGCAAAGAGTTGGGAGGGACCGAGCACAGACCAAAGTTTAGCTCCTGGCCCTACAAATGATTAACAGCTTGACTTTGGACAGGTTAACCTCTGAACCCCATTTTTTTCATCTCTGATAGTGATACTAACTTCATAGGATGCTTATGAGAATTAAACAAGATGGGGTAAAATGCCTGACCTATATTAAATGTTCAATAAATGAGTTCCTCTGCCTTTCAGAGAGAACAAGACAGTCTTTTTTGTTAAAAATCCATGGTAATACTGTTGAGTGATTACAAAACTGTTGTTTCTTTACTATTTTAATAGGTATTTGAATTCCTTACTTTGTGCAGAGTACTGTGCTAGAGTGAAAAAGTGACACTCCTTAGGGTTGGGATTTGTGTCTTAAAATCAGCTGCCTGCCCCTTGTTGCCCCTGGGGCACAAGGTGAAACAGCTGAGATGACAGCTCAGAAAAGAATGAACTTTCAGAGCAAACAATCTGCTCACTAGTTCGAGGCCTACATTTATGGAAGGGATACTTCCAGCAAAATACAGAGGCATGCATGCCTGGAATGGTTGCTCAAAAGGACATCAAGTAGCCCTAAGTTACACTGCCTCCCAAAGTCTTAAGCAGCCTGTAAAAATCTCTCCAGAGAAGCTGAATCTATAAACCTGTTGGTGAATCGTTCACTCCTGATTCATTATTCTAAGGTCTAAAAATAATGCAGTGGGTATAAGGAAGTGATACAGATTTTTATGGTACATTATATTGTGTCACATTAAATATAGTTGTTAATGTTTTCCTGTTGCTTTCTAGAAAACTGAAGGTAGCAGAAAGAAAACACCTCATTTTATCATTTATTGGAGAAGAGTGATTTAAAGCCTCTTTTCTGGAAAAAATAACCCACTGTTAAAAGGTGACTAAATACATATTAGGAGTGAGGAATTATAGATCCGAACAGGAAAACAAATGAAATATTTGTCTTTAGAAGGACACTGACATTTCTAAAAGTACTGAGGTTCTTAGAAAGAGTGGGAATTTTTATCTTAACCAAGGGGGGAAAAATGTGTAACAGTCTCTAACATACTGGTGACCTTTTACTGAAGTCTTGTCTCCCCACTTCAGTTCGTTCTGTGTCTTCATCCCAGATTAATATTCCTAAAATATCTTACCATGTGGCTGCCCCACTGCCACAGAATTCTGTTTCTTTTGAGGTCTCCTGTGACTTGTAGTCCTAACAGCTTTGTATCCTGTATTACTCACTAGAGCCTTCTTCATTCATTAACTGATTCATTCCATGGCCTCCCGTTCTCCATATTGGAATGCTTTCCCCTTTTTGCTTTCCATCTGTCACACACGTATCCAAAGTCTAGGTCTCACCATCTAAGATGAGCTTTTCCTAGTCCTTCCAGTCTGTATCTTTGAATTCTTTGCCACATCTTTTTTAAACACAACTTTTCTGTCAACAATTTAGTCATGTTTCCAACATGTACTTTCATTTTTTGACTCGAGTATGTCAGGTTCCTTGTGGTGAGAGAGCTTGCCACTAGAGGGCTTTAAAATTTGTCAGGAGAGGAGAGAAATTCTTAACACCCCAGAGACTGAGCACATAGCTCACAAGATGAACAGAAAAAAAATGTTCAGCTGCAACA